TTAAGGCAAATAAAAGTTTTTTTTTCTTCCAATTATCAAAATATTGTGACTTTTTGACATGATCTTAAATTGAAACATTTCAAATAATTAAAATATTTGTAAGATAATGGAAATATTATTCAAATTCTTTAATGCTATTTATAATATTCATGGACAATTTTAATTCATTTAATCTACTATATTTTCTGAAAAAAAAAAACTGCCAAACCTATTTCTAAACCTCGGTTATGAAGGTAATATTGTGACATGGACGATCTTCGTTGATCATATCGTGGGGTTTCAGCGTAAGTTAGAGGTGTGGGATTCTCGAAATGATGAGACATTTTAGAATTCTTAATATGACTTTTATTAAGAATTTAACTTAAATTACTTATATATCGAACAACCTTATATTAAGTGAGAATAAACCAAAACGCGTAGCCGTAATTAACACAGATCGCGCTATGGGACCACTTATCTATATAATTATATTATATCCGCCTACTCTCAATCCTAATAATACATTCGCATTCAGAATATAATCTTCCTACCTTGAAATATAAGCAACGGTTCAATCCACTTCAGATATTCCTCTAAGCTGGCGTACAATGGTATGTACCTTGGATGAATGGTGAGATTTTCGTGATTCATAGGTAAGCCGTCAATTTACACTTCTATCTTCTCTGAACTGAACTTTCTCCAAATTGCCATCGCGCTTACTAAAACTTCTGTCCTTTTAAAGGTTATCTTATTTGCATCTATCCTTCGTTTCACTTCTTGGATTTGGGTTGGAAAAGATTTGCCTTTAATCGTGGCCGTCAAAGAACACAGAGGTTATGTTAGAGAAAGAACGCGTGAGACGTCACAATATGAACACTTATTGTAAAGAGCTTTAAATGATAGAAAAAAATCTTCAAATTTAAATATTGATTGATTTTAAAACAAAAATTCGTGTGATTGCAGTTAAATATGTTATATGTCTAATCTAAAGTATTCTCATTAAGGCATCCGACTACGTTCGGAACCATGATTTTAAAAAAGAGCATAAATGCATAATTTTCATGATATTTAGTGTCATTCAGATTAGAATACATGTATAAAATTGTTTTAAGGACATTAAGACAAAAAAATCATTTAAATACAATATTTTGGCAAAAAATGAACTTAGATTAACCTTTTTTCTAAATCTCCTTTTGTAACAAATGCTTCTATTGTATTAATATTTCGTCTGTATATAGCTCAGACCTCAGTACAGAGGCTCAACAATGATTTTTGAAAAATTCACATTATTTTCAGAGTTACAACCATTTGAAATAATTATCGGCGTATTTTCTTAAAATTTCTCCCTTCTGTTTTCGTAAAACACGGATAAACCGACTTCCAAGTTATGCATTTCAAAACTTCTAGTTGAGCCTCTGTACAGAGATCTGAGCTATATACAGGCAAAATATTAATACAATTGAAGCATTTTCTACAAAAGGAGAAGATTTGGAAAAAAGGTTATTCTAAGTTCATTTTTTGTCAAAATATTGTACTTAAATAATTTTTATTGTAATACTATTCTTATAACCCAATTTTATATACATTGTCTAATCTAAGTGACGCTAAATATCATAAATATTATCTATTTACACGCTTTTGCAAAATCACGGTTCCAAACGTAGTCGGATACCTTAAATAAATAGTATTTTTGTGCAAGAAAATGGAAAATTGTATTTGGATAATGACTCTTAGTAAAATAAAAATTTTGTAACAAATGTAACATGTAAATCTTTATAACCCAAAAAGTCGCATAATATAGGAACATGAATTTTGAGAATTTATAATTTAGTAGATTACAACGTCATCATATTTTAAACTAATAATAGCTTTTTTCAGGCGAGAAGAATTTTTTTGTAACTTAAATTTCACAAAAATATGTTTAGAAAGTATAAAGTAAGTTGGATAATATGAAAATGAAATTATATATAATTAAGTTACACCTTGCAAAAAATTAACACTCATCCCAGTGATTTGATTTTAACTTATTTACATAATGCCTAAAGAGCAAAATTTCAAAATTCATTTATAAATAATCTGCTTTATTTTTATATCATAAAACTGGAAAAAATATATATCTCGAAACATAAATAAATTTAAACACGCTTTATCTAGAAATCGGAAAGAAAAATTCAATTTCAAAGTTTTAGAGAATGGAAAAGCAGAAGAGAAATTATAGTAATTATGTGTTTCTCTCTAATATTTTTTGCTATTCAAAATACCATCCCATTTTAACATTCATTCAATGAGTCTGACTTCAGAATATACATTTATGGATTAAATTACTTACATGGATTAAATTTTATGCCAATATAAAGATTACGCTAATATCCAGCTAATATAAAGATTGAAATTTCTCTAATTATATTATTTTGCTTAAAAATCTACCTTAACTTAATATATCTTACTTAATGTTTAATCTACTTTACTGACTTATTGGAAGCATTTATGCTTAAGATAGATAGAGATTTCAGATTCAGAGTAATTAATATCAATATGTTAACTTTACAGTACCAATTCATAGAAATTAGCATATTTTATGTTTCTCATCTTTGTTGAAATAAAAACGATTTTTCATTTACGATCTGTTTCATATTCTTCATATATAATATTTTACCACAAGAGTGTTTTCATTTCAATTCTCTCTCTCTTACTATTAGTTCACAATCTCTCTCTCTCTCTATATATATATATCTTGTTCAAATTTTCAATTGTCAATAAAATATTTTCTATTCTTCCATTCAAGTTCAAATACATTTTTTTTAAACTTGCAGTGGATGACACTTGATATTAATACAGTTTTTTTCAAATATCAATTCCTTAGTTAAACTTAATTAGTGAATAAATGGTAAAAAACAAAAATAATAGTCCAACACCATACATAAAAAGGAAAATCGCTCGTTGTGTCCCCGTAGCGCAATGGATAGAGCGTTGGACTTCTTGTCCAAAGGTCGGTGTTTCAAATCCTACGGATGGCCTAATTTCTGACAATGAGATTTATCAATGAATAAATAGTAACAAACAAAAATAATAATCCAACACCATATATAGAAGGGAAAATCGCTTTCTCTATTTTGCCACTTAATATTGTGATTCTGTCATATGTATATACATATTTATATTAATTGTAATTATTTAATAAAGGTAGCTAAAATAAATTTTTTCTTTGTTGACCTAAGCAGAAATTGACTTAATTTTTTTTTATATTACTTGCTTTTTAAAACATTTTACATCTTACTTAAATCGGCGTCTCCATTTATGAGGAATATTTAAACTATAATGCAATATATAACTCAATTCTTAGAAAATTTCTAGAGAAAAAATTCCTAGAAACAATATACAGCCGTTATTCGCCAATGAAAAAATTGTTATAAAGATAAGAATATTATTGAATAATACGCGTAACCGTTTATAATTTGGATATAAAAAATGCTTCATTCTTATCAAACCAGCTGTTAAGAGATCTAATTGCGAATAATATGCATTTCAGGTGTGGAAGGTACTTTATTTTTAATTATTAATTTAATTTTTATTTATTTACTTAAAAAATAATATAATCTATCATATTAAATCAAAAAGGTTTAAACTCTCTTCGAGGAACATCGCAGTTAAAAATCGTTAATTTAGCATACAAAATCAATCAATTTTGTAACAAATAAAATGAACCATTCAAGATTTTTGTTTTTCAAGTTAATTACTGGTTTCAATAGTTAATTACTGTAACTAAGTACATACGGGTTATAATTTTGCTCTTGCTAACTTAGATTCAAATTGGTGCATTAGTTTTAATCAAAGATAGTACTCCCAGCGCTCTTCTCAGGCAAAAGTAGCGTAGATATTTAGCGAAATTTATTCTTAGTTGTGCACGCATTCTTTTAAAAACGTTACAATGTAAAAGAAAGCATAATCGATACCAACTCATTGAAATAAATGAGTGTCTTCTAGTCACGCAATATGCTCTAGCTCAATGCCTATTCGCTACAGTTCATAGGCAGCTGACCACAATGGCCAGTGAGTAATTTGAAGGGAAACAAAATGAGCCATCAGTGATTTTTTTATTATTATTTAAATATTTAATCAAAGAAAGTTTAAGTAGAAGCCCATTATTAAGGTGTGCATTGACTTGCTTAAAGACTTTTTTTTCAATTCCTATTAGCTCACACTCTCTATATATTTATTTATCTTGGTGGAATTTTCAATCGTTAATAAAATAATTTTAAAGCGATCAATTGAGCTGAAATTTTATATACATGATTATTTTAGATGTCAATACAGTATAATTTAATTATAATTAATAAAAATTAATTCATTAAAACTAACTATTTAAAGAATTACACAAATACAGCCACGTTGGCATCATTTTTGGCGACTTAGCAACCCTTTTGGTGACTTGTGTCAAAACTTGAAAAGGTTTTTTTCTCACGTTTTAAAGCATTCAGTTGAACTGAAATTTTATATACACGATTGTTTTAGATGACAATACGATATTCAAATGATAATTAATAAAAATTAATTACCACCTAATGTTGTGATTCTGTCATATGTATATAAATATTTATATTAATTGTAACTATTTAATAAAAAGTAGCTGAAACAAAAATTTTCTTTGATCTAAGTAGGAATTGACTTAAAACATTTTTTTGTATATTACTTGTTTTTTATTTAATTTCATACATTTTTATCTTTAGTTACCTTTTTGAGTTTTGATTTCTTTTTACAATTCCCACTATTAGTTCACATTCTCCTTATATATATTTATTTATAAATATTTGTTCGAAATTTCAGTTGTTAATAAAATACTTTTTATTCATCCACTCAAGTTCAAATACATTTTTTTAAACTTGTAGTGGATGACACTCGATGTTAACATAGTTTTTTTAAAATATTAATTACTTATTTAAGTTTAATTAATGAATAAAAAGAAACACACACACAAAAATAATATTCCAACACCATACATAAAAAGGAAAATCGCTCGTTGTGTCCCTGTAGCGCAATGAAGAGTGTGATGAACATTTAATTCAAAGGGGTCGTGGGTTCAATTCCCACCTGGGATGGCGTAATTTCTTAGAATGTGATTTATTTTTACTATACTATTTTATTAGAATAATTAAATTTAATTAATAAATAAATAGCAACAAATAAAAAATAATAGTTCAACACTCTATATAGAAGAAAAATGGAAAATTGTAAGGAAAATCGCTTTTTATTTGGCCACTTAATATTGTGATTCTGTCATATGTTTATACATGTTTATGTTAATTGTAACTACTTAACAAAAAGTAACTAAAATAAAATTTTTCTTTGTTGACCTAAGTAGGAATTGATTGAAAATTTTTTTTATATATATTACTTGCTTCTTTAACAATTCTGTATTGAGCATTTACCAGATTTTTTTCTCATTAATTTCTTTAAAAAGTTTAATTTAGAAAGCTCACGTAAATTGCTTATGAAAATAAGAATAATTTTTCCGTATTTATAAATAAACAATTAAGATTTTTCTCCTTTTTGCCATATTCCTACTTAAATTATTTCTCTTCTTATTTACTCATTTTATGTAAAAAGGGAAGAAAGGAGAAAAAAGAAAAAAAAATTGGTTACCCCTTTCCTTTCCTACAGAGATAAATTCCTTTTCATTTTCTTAATCTTTTAAACTATCATCGTAATGTAAAATATATGCAAAAATGTTATCTCCACTTTTTATTCTACAATGTATACGAAATAGATACTACCAGATACGAAAATATTTCCGATCTCCTATAAGCTCAGTTTAACATAATATGATTCCAATATTTATTCGAAATATAAAAAAGAATCTGCAATTGAAATTCTACCATATCTGGCAACGTTAGCTTAGATGTAAACTTGAAAAAAATGAACATAGAAAAAATTGTCTGCCATTTCTTTCAAACGTAAAATGCTCGAATTTCGTAAAAAAGGGAATCATTGCAATTCCATTTTAGAGAAAAGAAAGAAGGATTTTCAAATCACTATGGCTTTCGATAAGTCCTTTTAGTTAAAGTAGAATGAAAATGCCTTAAAGGATTTGGTTATCTTAAAGTATGGATTCTGTGCAATGAGCTACGCTAATAATATATGAATTCTGAACATTTCAGCAAGGAAAAAAATCATTTCGAGTCCCTAACTTTTTCCAGTTCCTTGATAATAGACACTGGAAATTTTTATTGCCTTTTTTCGTGTTCCAAAGCTCCACTTTATCAAGGATGCAGATAAATTTTCGAAAGATACTTCCTTTTTTTATTTGAATGAACGGTGTCTATTGATCACAGCAAAAAAAAAAAAATAGATATGAATTCTTGAAAAAGCCTTTCAAAGCAACATGATTGCTAGGCAGGACAATAAGTGAGTGAATATTAACACATCGCACTATTCAGCTACTCGAGGGCTTTTGGCGATGGACCTTGTAATTTTGAACCATAGTCAGGTGACGAAGACGACACCTGAGCTGTCACCTCCCTCTCCTAACTTCCACACTAAACCAACGGGTGGACGTTTGAGCCTCGTCAGATTTGACGCGCATCGCCCCCCTAAATGGAGGGTCTTCCTCTGCTCGAATTCATGATACGCCGATTACACGTCCGTTACCTTGACTACTAGGCTACCGCGACGACAAGGTAGGACAGTTAGGAATCAGTTTTAAATTCTAAATAATAGAATATATACATTAAAAAAAAAGATTATACATTTAGAATTTAATGCAGGAACCATTAAAATTAGAAACACCAGTTGATGTGAACAAACCATTTTTAAAATGATTGACTGAGTCTCCCCCAAAACCCCCCCCCCCCCTCCAGATGTATGTTTTAAAAATTATCTAAAAGTATATGTATATTTTCCTCCTTTAATATCTAACATTCAGTATATAAATTTGTATAATTTTAAAGAAGACAACAACTAAAATTTAACCCAATAATTATACTTATTGTTTTAATTTAAAAATTTAGTATTATAATTATAAATTGACAAATGCATGCAATGTAGCAGTATATGTGTTTTAAAAAATTATTTAAATTGTAATTTTCTTTTAATTTTAGATTTATACCTTTCAGACATAGTTAATTTTAATTCTCCTGCACATCAAGACTCTTATTTATTTCTGTATTATTGTAATGTTGAGGGAAAAGAATTAATTAAAGAGACATAAAAAGTTCCAAGTAATTTATATTTTCTCTTTATTTGCAATGTCATTTGGAACCTTCAGAAGAGATAAATGAGCGGTTCAAGCATGAGTGAAGAACTTTTTTTTAGTTACTCCCACCCTTCGGGGGGGAAAATGTGACCCAAAGAAACAAATTGTTCAACTTAGTGAAAAGAACTAGTTATGTAATCTCTTCCAACAACTCTGTATTAAAAAAGAGTATAATTTTGCGAAAAGAATCAAAGAGTATATATATTATATATAAACAAGTAATATAAAAAAAAATTAAGTCAATTCCTACTTAGATCAATAAAGCCAAATTTTATTTAGCTATTTTTTATTAAATAGTTACAATTAATATACATATGACAGAATCACAATATTAAGTGGTAAATGATTTTTATTAATTATCGTTTAAGTACCATATTGTTATCCAAAACAATCGTGTCTATAAAATTTCAGTTCAAATGATTGCTTTAAAACATGAGAAAAAAAATCTTAAAGTTTTGACACAAGTCGCCAAAAATGATGCCAACGTGGCTGAATTTGTAATTCTTTTAATTATTAGTTTTAATCAATTAATTTTTATTAATTATAATTAAATTACTGTATTGTCATCCAAAATAATCCTGTATATAAAATTTCAGCTCAATTGATCGCTTTAAAATGTATTTTAATAACGATTGAAAATTCCACCAAGATAAATAAATATATAGAGAGTGTGAAGTAATAGTGTGGGAATATTGAATAAATTATACTGGGAAGTGTACACACACATACACAAACACACTCGAGTGCACACACACACATATATATTTGTGTTCTGTATGTTCTTTTGAAATGAGCAAAAATAGGCACAAATACATACCATTACATATCACACACATTTACAAAATTTGTGGCCGTGGTAGCCTAGTGGTTAAGGTTGCTAAGTCGTAGCCGGCGGGTCAAGAGTTCGAGTCCTAGTGCTACTGAAGAACCACCATATAGCGGTGTTGGTACGCGCAAAATATTTCGATGCTCAATGTCCTCCTGTTGGTGGAGTGTCGTAGCTTGGAGAGAAAGTGTTAGCTCAGATGTCGTCCTCGTCACTTGACTAAGGTTTCAAAATTACGACGTTCGTCGCTAATATAGTGCTCGTGCTGCTTCATAGTTCAACGTTAAAAAACACTCCCTATCTCATACGAGGAAAAATATAAAGTTATGATAAAATATTCGATGGTTTAGAGAAAGCTAATGTTAAAATTTGAGAATTAATCTATTCATTAAGAAATTGTATAAAATTATTTGTAAGACTTTATCAAAAAAAAAATGACCGAAATAGGAATTAAATTAAATCAGATCTTAAAGATAAATGTTCCATTTTTGTTTTACAGCTTTAGCTGCTGCTTCTTAATCTGGCATTTTTCTTGGCGTGCTTTGTGGGGAAAACTCGCCAAACACTTTTAATATAGCCATGCGAACTCTCACTAACTCTATTTACTTACTTTTCAATTCCTACTATTAGCTCGCACTCTCTATATATTTATTTATCTTGGTGGAATTTTCAATCGTTAATAAAATACATTTTAAAGCGATCAATTGAGCTGAAATTTTTTATACATGATTATTTTGGATGACAATACAATAATTTAATTATAATTAATAAAAATTAATTGATTAAAACTAATTATTTAAAGAATTAAAAATACAGCCACTTTGGCATCATTTTTAGTGACTTAACGACCCTTTTGGCGACTTGTGTCAAAATTTGAAAAGGTTTCTTTCTGACGTTTTAAAGCATTTAGTTGAACTGAAATTTTATATACACGATTGTTTTGGATGACAATACGATACTTTAATGATAATGAATCAAAATTAATGACCACTTAATGTTGTGATTCTCTCATATGTATATACATATTTATATTAATTGTAATTATTTACTAAAAAGTAGCTAAAATAAAATTTTTCTTTGTTGATCTAAGTATGAATTGACTTAATTTTTTTTTTTATATTGCTTGTTTTAAAAATTTAATTTAAAAATATACGTTTCCTTTAATATTGAATTTATGTGGTAGTAGTAAGGTTTATTACATGTTCCATATTGGGATGGAATTAATTTTTTTGTGCTGTGTTATATATAATTCCAATTAAATTGGTGTTCAGAAGAAAAACAACATGACCTATCGGCAGTGGGGACCTATATTCACTTCTGAGTGCCAAATCTAAATAGAACTAGACCTTAAACAAAACAAATAGCACTAAAAGACTCATGTTCTCAATAGGTATCGTCGCCCAATTATAATACATCCAACGTTAAAACAAGGTAGCTGATTTCTAACAGAAGCAAAATTAAATAACAAGAGACCGACGTTTGTGTGATAGCTTAACTGAAGCCAAAGAAGCAACAACGTAGCAGTGGTGTGTGAGGGGGGGGGGGGGCCCCCCCCCGCGGAAAGATTAAAAACGGAGCGGAACATCTCTTGTGACGATCGGGGGCAGAGTGAGGAAGGGGTGGATGAAAAAGAGGACGACGTTCTCTTCTATAGAAACAATGGTGACGTTTTTATTTCGGGCTCTGATGGTGGAGATGGTTCTGTCTGTGCAGAATGTTGAATGACGTGATATTCTAAATGTTTGACAAAGCAGGTTCTCGTCATCGTTAGTTAAGTTTATCCACACAATGTGATTAGGATTGAAAGATCATACATAAGGTAAAAAGAGAAAATTCAAAGCAGTGCGATGTTAATTATACTTTTTCAAAATATTTAGTCACATTAAATTTTAGCTACATTAAACTATAAAAGAAGAAAATTGCAATAAGAATACGAGATTTATTCGCTTAGAATTAATTTATTTTGTTGTATCAAGTCTTCTTTCCAAGCACTACAGCCAGTTACTGGCCAAGGCTGTATC